ATGAAGAGCAGGTGGGGATGAGCACAATAGAAAATCGAGGTGCTCACCACTATGCAATAATTAATATTAAATTTTATAAAATAAAGCAGGTATGGTCGCAGTATGAACACAAATCAATTAATATCCCATCTCCTTCCCAGAGTCAACTCTCGTGTGCACACCTATACCAATAGACCACTGCTGATACACGTATCGAAAACCCCCGCGGGCCTTACATTCGATGCCCAGACAGTGGGAGTAAACCCACCCCGAATGCCTGGAAACATTCCTTCGGACTTACATCGAGGATCACCAGCCAAGGCTCACGCCCTGACTGCCATACATAAATAAAGGAGACACCCATCGGGTACGTTCTATAGCTACGGGGATAACCGTTCGACGGCCAATATAGCTCACATCGAAGGCTACATGGTTCACATGCATACTTTGATCATACCACAACAATAACAATTAATTAATGCATAGAAACTTTTCAAATAAAACCCACCTGGTAATCGGAATGGGAAAACACAACAAGTAGTGGGACGTAGGTCGAGGGATCGACTCCTCAAACACCTACATTTAATCAAGATAATTTCATAAATATATTATCTTGATATTTACAATCATTAAAGACTCACTCTTAATCAAAAAAATTATTAAGGGATTTATCGGAATTTATCGTGGACTTGGAACTCTCAAATATTTTTAAAAGAAAAGACTCGAGGACCAAAAATAGAGTCTCGGGACTTAAAATAATTTTTCTCAAATTTTTCTCATTTTGAAAATATTTTTAAAATTGAAATCGGCATTAAAAACATGCTTCCGGTACCTAAAAAGGGTTTAAAAACTATTCTGGGCCGCGCTAGAAAATCTGCCGCAAAATGGGCCTATACACGCGAACTGGGCCGCAAGTGGCCTGGAGCGAAATTTGGGCCGCAATAACAGGGCTGCTCAATGTGCTGAACGCGGGCTGGGCAACGGGCCGAACGGGCCGAACGGGCCGGGGTGCTGGTGACTGAAGGCGGGCCGCGCGCGGGCTGGAAACGGGCCGAACGGCCCGCGCGCTATGGAATAAACTGGGCTGACTGAAAAAAAACGGAAAAAGGGTCTGCTGGTTGAGGGTTTCGAACTCGAGACCTCTCGCACGAGGGACAGCGCAGCACGCCACTTGACCAACTAACTGGTTGCGAATATTTTAGAAGGAAAATCGAATTTTATTTGTAAAAATGTTACTGCGAGAAGAAGAAAAACTCTATACTGCTCGCGCACAGGAATTTCCGGCAACAAAGTGAAATCAACGACGAAGCTCACGGCGATCGGTTCGATTAATTTCAGCAACATTTTTAAAAATAAAACTTTCAGAGTTTCGAAATTTTCATCAAATGGTTTATATGGATCGCAAATGGAAAAAGGCATAACCGGCTTGAAAATAAACAAACGGCAAAACGAACAAGACGATCCCGAAAATTCACAACCGAGTCTCCGAATCTTGTTCAAATAATCACAACAACCTAAGAGGTTCGACTTCGAAAACGAAAGTTCCAATATCCACGAAATTCACGAGACCAAAAGAGTAAACGGAACATATACGGTCTAAAATTAATACCAACGCAAATAGAGGAATCGATTCAACGAGCTCGATTGAACAACAATGTGAATGAATACGAAAATATAACAAGAAGGTTCGACATAGATTACCCGTCTTCGGGAATTTCGAGCTATCGGAAAAACGGGTCGGACGGCTGGGTTGAACGTACGAACAGACGGAGACTCGAACCTCAAAAGCCTCGACGAAGAACAACCCACTGCAGCGAGGAAGGGCTCGTGGCTGAGGCTGATCGGAAAAGGCAACGCTGTCGACGGTGGATCTCCGACGACTAATGGATTGCAGCGGGCGGCTCTGGCGACGGCAATTTTTTTTTTTTTTAAAACAAAGGGGCTGTGCGATTTGTGCTTCTGAGGATGAGAATTGTTTCGCCGAGATAAAATAGATGAGCGTGGAATTGGTCCTCGGTCGAAATTATAAGAGATGAGCTAGCGATGATCGTGGGAGAAAAATCTCGCCAAATCTGAACAGAAAAATCGCGATGGTGAAGGACTCGGTCTCGCGCACGGATAAGAAGGAGAAGAAAAGTAAGGGCCGTGAAATTGACTCCAATTTGGCCAATAGAGATTTTATCATTTGGGCTAACTTACCACTAAACATTTGGGTCAAGGCATAGCTGGGCTGGGATAATTTAAATTGGCTCAAATGGCTAAAGATAAACGTTAATTGGGCTGAAAGAAATACCACACAATAAGAATTTCCGATCGATCGATTGACGATAAATAATAAGTAAAATTACACGACTACGACCGGAAGGTTAAATAAATAAATCCGGGTATAACATATATTTTTATAATACACACAGATTAAATTTTCAAATAATAATAATATTAGTAAAAGTACATATACATATTTTAATTAGTTAATAACACTTAGACAAATAGGCAATTAATTACAATTTGGCAATTAAATAATATTTAGACAATTAAGCAAATTTGACAAATAAATCATATTAGACATTTAGTAATTTTTAGCATTCAAATAATAATAACAACAAATAATAATAATAATAATAATAATAATAATAAATTCCCAAAAATTCAACAATCAAACGGGGCATTACAGTTTCAATACAGGGAAGTCGATTTTTTCAATGTATTTCAAGTCGGTTTACAGTGAGATAGCCGAGTTGAATATATGAGTGTGTATGATCTTTTTTCGAACCCCTCTCTCGTCTTTGGAGCTGCTATTTATAGTTATGTTTGGCACACATCCCTAGACAAATCATTCCCGTTTTAATGAAGATTTGACGTCTTAGGGGCGGCGATGACGTAGAAGAACTTTTTAGGCAATGATTAGCATGGGCGCGCCTCTATCTGTGTGACGAGTGTCACATCTGTCGGAACGAAGTCGGTTCGTCTTGCGATGTCGGTATTTTGATAGGTCTTCAATATTCTACGACTTATAAATAATTCTTGGACCGAGTTGGCCTTTTTCAAGGTTCAGACGACTTGTGTCGATGACTCCCGAAGGTTCTGCGGTATCATTTACGGATTCCGAGATGAGATTACCGAGGTACAATATGTCCTATTTGACGTCGTCCAGAATCCGATTTATGGATCAAACTCCACGATTTCTGTAATTTTAACCTTAATATCAAGATATTCTATCTTGATATCAACACACATATCAACATGAAATTTAAGCACATATCAACATGAAATTTATCTCATTTGAAAAGTAAGAGACAGACCTATAACTTTCATGAAGAGCATAAATTCATACGAGCACATTACGACATGATAAACAAGTCATATTTTAATTACAGACATGCTGTCGGGTAACAGGAAAGAACGCACAAAATTCTTGCAAAAATCATAACTTATTCGATATAGCTCGGAATCGAGAAATTCCAAAGCCCAGGTATAGCAAACTGAACATACTACATTTCGCATGAAGGTGACAACTTCAAATAACCAGTCTCTGATGGCTTAAATTGCGGCACAACAGAACAGCGAAAATTGTGTTTTCACATGAAATGACAATGAATACTTATGACGATGGTTCCAATCTCGACAACGATTATTATAACTTCTCCACAGAAACAAACGAGCACAATATGATTTATCACAGCAATAACATGATACTCGGTTTATAAAAAGAACGAGAGTTATTAACGCCCGATTAATACGACAATACGAATCAAACGTATAACGGCTTAAATTAACGACACTCGAGACATCGAACATGAAATCACCGAACACATCCAAATCACGAATATAACACGTAAATGGATAGCGAGAGGTCGAGTCTCGTTACCGATCTCGGGAAAGTGTTCGAAAACGAAAGGAAAAGGCGAGTGGTAATCGGCTCGACGGCGGAGCTTCGTCTCGCTGGGGAAGAAGCAGCGGCTGCCGAGGCTCTTCTCGGCCGGCTGGGTCGCTGCTGGTCGTGATGGAGAGCTCGCCGGAGGTCGGGCCTGAGGACGACGGCTTGTGGAGGAGCAGGGGTGCACGGGGTTGCCGGGAAGGCGGTCGTTCACGCTGGTTAAGCCGGGGGAGCTCGTCGGAAAACGCAGCGAAGGAGCAGCGATGACGAGCGGTTGTTCGCGGAGGGAAGGGCTCATCGGTGGTGGCTGCGCGACAGAGGAGAGCTCGCCTGACAGCTCGCTGGCGTTGCTGGGGTCGACGTGGAGGAAGAGCCCGTCGGAATGAGAGCTCATGGACTGAGATTCACGGCGGCGCTCCAGGTCGTGGCGGTGTGGCTCATCGTCGGTGAACGTTTGCGGGTGGGAGAAGGCTCGCCGGAAGGATCGTGACGGCTGCTGGTTCCCATCGAGAGTGGAAGGCTCGCGAGGTGCTCTCGCCGGAAAAAGGGTGCAGCAACGGTGATCGGGCGCTGGAGTCTGACGCGGAGGGCCTGCTACGCGAACGGGAGTCGCCGGCGTTGAATTCGCCGGAAAAATTGCAGGTGCGCGGTGAGGATGGTGGACGGAGATGGCGGTGAAGGGAGAGGAAAAATTTTGAGAAGATGAGGAAAGTGATTTGGTTCTGCACGAGATAGGGAGATATGGAGACTTATATGTGTTCAGCTGGAGAGATAAGGGGAACCGTTACCTGCTGAGAAATCGCCGCTGGAGTTTGAACGTGGAGATAAAAGGGGTGGGAGAAGAAGACTCGGTCGGGCGATTCAAAATTAACAGATAAAATTTGGACTGGGTCTGGCGATGTTTAAAACAAAAAGAACAGATAAAATTTTATCTGTTTTGGTCGCAACTTAGAAATCAAATGGGTCCAAAATTAATTCATATGGGCTAATTCAAAACAATTTGGGTTGGGCCTAATTTATCTCGCAATGGCTACGGAAAATAATCAAAATCGGCCGATTCTCTCGGGCTCGACTCGAAAATTATACGAGGCTAGAATCGACATGGCGAAAAATTAAATAAAACCGATAATATTTATTAATCGCACACATTATTTATTTATCTATAATAATAAACAATTAAGGCAATTACAAGTACAAATAAAATAAATAAATTAATTCGGACAAATAAAAAAAATAATAATTCCGTAACAAATCCGGAACAAATGAGGCGCTACAATCCGAGAAGAGGAGGAAAACGCTATCAATTGAAGCTGAACGACGTAGTCCTAAGGTCAATCAAACGACGTCGTTTCTATCTAACCTAAACGACGTCGTTTTGCAAACACAAAGGCAGCGTTTTTTACTTGGGTGAGACACGTGTCGAACAAAGAAGGCTTGCACTTCCTTTTTATATATATAAGAGAATAGATAAATGGAGTTTCAATTAACATGTGTGCTTGGAGGTAAACGAGTCAAGTAACGGTTCTGCTATACTCAAGGACCTAAACCGAAAATGTGGGCAACCCACGAGTAATCTGACTAGGGGTTTTATTGACATGCCTAAACTCAAGCAACGTAATATAACCCACAAATACTACAGTACACATATCACCCAACTTTGCTATCTAGTATCTCAAATTTGATGCAGGAGATATAAAATGTTCAGACATATACCCTCTCCTCATACATCAAACTTATAATTGTAGAAAATCAGCATTAATTACAGGACACAATGTAAGGTTGGGTTTGGGTGTCATTCCAACACAATCCTTTCATATCAGTCTTTTTGTCAACACCTTCACCTTTCAACAGCATTTATACCCTTGATAACCTTCATACTCTTGATAACTTCCAATTACCGGTGGACCTAAGCCCTTGAGTACTCATAATCAATACAAACCGTGATATCTGTCATTAATTACTATTCGATAAGATAATTTGCCGCAAGGGTATTTGTTGCATTTCAACCACCTGACATTTTATTTTAACAAAGCGTGCGTTAGTCTCAATGCTTTTTTAAGTAAGAGCTTCACCATGATATAAATGAAAAATGAAATAGAAGAGTACCTGACAACACTTGGTCTTTCTAAACGGCTGATAATTGTAATCCACCCCCAACAAGCCCAGCCATTGTTTATTCTTGTTCTACTGTCAGTTACGACATCACCTTAGCTTCCCCGAACTAGTACTTAAATGAATCCAGAAAAAGGCCAAGTGAGAGCCCAGCCTTCCAGTAATTGAACACGACAATTACATTCCTAAAGTCATCCACCAAAGGAATAGAGACTCTGTACATGAGGGCCCCAATACCCTCAACAACAGCCACAGCTACAGCTGCAGACAACACATCCCAATCACCAGTTTGCCCTATGACTGTTGCAAAAGCTGTGGCGCAATAAAACCCCACCAAAAAAGAGAACAATTTCACCGGCAGATTTTTTCTCAACTCTTTTAGTCGCGCTATTATTTTCAACTGGACGGCTTGTATGCTGCGGATAAGCCTGGTCCCACCGCCTAAGTCGTCTTTAGGCGAGGAATTAAGCTGGCTGCCGTCGGCTGCACTTCTAAGGCTCCATGACGCCTTCCTCCTGTACAACTGAATATAATGAGTTTCACAAGTGGATATAATGAGTCTAAGGTGATGTTTATACATATCAAAGAACGTAAAATTGCATTTCAGCTCATAACTTAGGGTGAAAGCAAAATAGCACCGTGACGTGCATAATGAATATTTACAGAATAGTTATGCAGCTAGAAATATCTCTCAATTTTCGTTTTATAAAATTAAAGATTGTCAATTTCCGTCTTAATGTAGCCCAGAAAAATGAGAATCGCATGTGCCACAGCAGAATGATTTTGTCATTTACTGTTTAATAAACCATGTGATTATGTAGGTAAAAAGGTGAGATTAACATAATTAGAGGGCTTTCAGCAAAAGATGTATTTTACCGGACCATTGTTTGCTACAGCGGAATGATTTTGCAATTTCACCTATAAAAAAAAGATGTAAAGTTGACAAAAAGAAGAGAAAGAACTCACTTGAACTTGTTGGCACTAAAAGGCCAAACAGCATGAAAAAAATTCAACTGAAATGGCGGCATCAACAATTTACTGAATGAAAGCGCAGTGATCGATTTCGAGTAATTATTGGATGTCAGAATACTAGCTAAACTCATGACATTTGCTCCTCCAACCATGAAAGGACCTTCCACCTGCGATTCCAATACAGGAAATGTCATTTCAAAAGCTATTTCGAACAACTAATTAACCGAGAATTCTGAAAATCATAAAACAAAATGCAGAATATAACCGATTGATTCAGTAGAAATCAATGTTAGCGTATAGTAACAGAAGAATATCTATGAGAAGTTGCTACCTTACATGAGTAGTTGTTGATCCGGAAGTTGCCAGGTAAGTGGTCTTTGAATGTACAGCTGAAAAGGGAAAATTGAAAATCACGCGAAGACAACATACTAGGCTACGTGTTCTTGGAGACACCACCAAACAGATTGCGCACAGGTAGATACATGGACATCAGGTAACAATTAAGTCCCAAAACACTATCGAATTCTCAAATGCCTGGATCATCAACTTCTTGTACTTAATCCCCAAATAACAGAACTGATTAAATCCCGACCACTAAAATCAATTAACAAAGTGATTATAGTGCGGACAACGTTGGTAAAGTTACAAACTGCAGTTTCTAAGAGTATTTCATGTTTCCGGTTTTAAAGAACGGATCGGTACAGATGACATACCTGTTGCGATGCTTCCAGATGGCCTGTTTGAGATTGAATCCACAGTAATCTTGGATAAGCAAGCGAACAATTTCTCGAACAGATTTCTATTGGCTTGGGGAGATACAGAGAACAAGGAAATCTTGTTGGAAACCTGAGGCAGAATATTCAGAAATTAGGGTTCGAAAGGGAAGACAACTGTGTCGAATTAAGACGAAATGGTGAATTTGGGGATGAGCGAGCTTCACCAGCTCACCATTTAAAATGCTGGTTTTTGTTATGAAATAATAAAATAATGTATGTGAATGACTATTTTGTCCTCGATGTATTTGTATTATTACGAGTTGTGCCATCAAAAGTTTCCTATAAATAGGACCTTCAGTTATAATGAAAATTGTACCTAAGAGAATACATTTTCTCTATTCTCTCTCTTTCTCTCTAGTTTTATAACACGTTATCAGCACGAGTCTCAACCCTTTAGAGCTCGATTTGTAATATGACGAGAGTATGTTCTACAGTTGCGTCTTATAGACGATCTTCTGTATCAAAAATCAAATTATTACAAGTCGATATTTTTCTTGTGATCCTTATCAAAAACTCTCGCCCATTAAATTAAAAATAAAATAAAAATAAATAAATACTACCACTCTTCTCAAAATCTAAAACCATAGAAAATAGATTTTGGGCACAACGCATGTGTGCTTCGCTGTAGAAGACGACCTCCTTGACTTCATATTCGAAGACTATGACGGTAAGGAAGGGGTGGTCGACCGAACCATTGTTAAAGGCGGTGACTCCACCTCCTCTTCCACATTGGAATCCTTGGACCCGGCGGTGATGCTGCTCTGCCGTGGGACTCAGGCTGGTTTATTCCCTGTAAGTTTTACCTTTTTTGAATTCATGTGTGTATGGGAAATCTAGGGGATAGAGATTTCTCAACTAAATTTTTTCCAACAAAGTGAGTTGAGCTGAAAATAATAATAATAATAATAATAATAATAAATGATAGAAGAAAGTCTATCTCAGCAACATACTGCGATGATAAAGTCGGCATATATTTTCATCACTCCATTATTAATAATGTTTAATATTCCACTTGTGTGATCCCACTTAGAATAATTTGACTTTATGCATATCCTTGAATTGTAGCAGCAATCAATTGCCAACATTGTGTACCTCATAGGAATTATTGCCAATAAATGTGACGTGTACCCGCTTTTAATACTAGATATTTGTATAAATTAATGACCACCACAAAATTGAAAGAAAAATCTCATTATATTGTGAAAATTATTTGGTACATGGTTAAAAATTCATTATTTGTAGTTCCATGTTAACAAGTTAAATAAGAGCTTCATTTTAAGAGTAATATTGATATGGTTTATTATCACACATCAAATATATTATGGTTATGTAATGTTTGAATTTTATTATTGTGAAAATTATTTGGTATGTGAACATGCAAATATTTATAGATTGACCCGTGTGATATGAAAAATAAATATGTGTGGCTACATAGACCGGCCAGTGCGGCTCTGCCGCCGGCAAGTGATATTTAGCCAACGGGTCAACTGTTGAAATATGAAAAATCATGTGAAATGGTCGAGCAGTGTATCCACTGAAATAGACAATACAAAAGAAGATTTGATCAACTAAGTGAACCGGTCAATGTATTGAATAATGATAACCGGCGATGGCCAGATGATAAGTGTATTGAATAATGATGACCGGTGATGGCCAAAATGAAAAACATATTAATGATAACCGGTGATATGGAATGGCCATATGATATGGCCATGTGCAAACAAATATACATATAAAAGGATATGAATGGCTATATATATGCATGGGCCGACCAGTGCGGCTCTGCTGCCGGCGACGGGCAGTACAAATTAAGTGATAGCCGATGAATGAAATTAATGATACTGTGTATCCGGCCATATGAAAAGCTGATTAAAGTCCTGATCATGAAAGGACATTATATGGAATAATATGATCCTAGAGAAATAATTGATAAATTCTCCAAATTTATGGAAAAACGAATATTGACGAGATGGTACCAGTAGTTACCACGTGATTAATGTGATGTCGAAAGTTATGATATAATGATTAAATGATATCCTTGTATAAATGGTACTTAAAACTACCATATAACGATTAAACAAAATGATGAAATGGTACTAGAAGCTACCATTGGATGATTGAACAAAATGAGAAAGTGGTATCAAAAGCTACCAGCTATGGGTGATCACACAAAAATGATTTCTCAATATATTATATAAGTCTAAGGGGCTATATCAGATGACGAGATCACATTGGGATACAAGATCATACATATATTACAATAAAGTGCTCCGAAAGAAGCACAAATGATAATGATTGTAGTCATGAACTACTATACACTGAGAAAAATCGAAATTGATATTATTATTACTAAAAAACAAGTACAAAATGTTCAGATGGTGGAAATATGAAAAAGAGGCAGTAAATACTCGATGAATACAAAATACGCAAAGATTACATAATAGAACCCACTAAAGAAGGGTGCGTCTCGAGAGTGTAAAACTCCGTAACTCTGCCACCCATGAATGATATCTGGGTTCATATTTGAATAATATCTGGGTTCATAATGAGAGATCTAAAGGATCAAAAGCTCTTTTTCGCTTGACCCCTTGTGTTTCCATAGAATCTTGAAATGTGATGCATTCTTGAAGCTTTTTGATAAGTTCAGCAGACGTGTCAGCAGATTTGAATACTTCTCTCATTGAAGGGGATATAAAGGTTTGATATACTCCTATGTCTAAAAATCCAAGCAAACCATGAAAGAAGTTATTAAAGTTCAATAGACCTATGGGCTTGTTATGAAGTTTCAATTCTGCCCATAAAGCAATGGTGAACATTGTCATTAGCGTTCCATACCCGCCTGGAAGAATGATAAAAGCATCGCTATTGTTCACCATATCCATCATACAATCATGAATGGAATGAGTTAACATCATGCTTGTGGAATCCTTGACGACCTTTGTTGAAGCTCTACGAAAAGGTATGATACTTTTCACTTCTATCTCAAAACATTGTCCAGCCATTAAGAGACTATCATAGAAAGTATTGCTAGTCCCTCCATACAGCAAATTGATTTTTTGATTCCCCATCTCTTTGACTAACTGACTTACAATATGAATAGTTTGAGAAAAACTAACCAGTTTAGAACCACCAAGAACACATATGGTTTTGATTGGTTGAAGAAAATTATTACCTTGCGAAGACTCTGAAACATCCATCTATTTATTGATAAACTGAATTTTTCAAAACTTTGTGAGGCATATGATTATGATGAACGACTCGCTATTTAAATAGAATGTTTTACAAAGCAATAAATAATTTTACTGTTTTCTTCTGACAATTGCAACTGACAGATAAGGTGTTGGGTTTTAAATAAATCTTATCTGTCGGCAACTATAAGTTTTTCTAGAAAATTACAGTACAACATACTAAACTGTATTAGTATGATTTTTTGTACTAACAAGACCAGTTTTACAAACTTGATCTTTTGAAATAATATTTTCGAGACTATAACGTTCTTCTTCATTTTTGAACTGAATCCATAAAGACATAAGCTCACGATGCACGTATCCACTAGGATGTGTCTCAAGAATCTGTTGAATCGTTTGATCCAAAGACTCCTTACTCAATCCATCCTTTATAAACGTTATTTTATCTTCTCGATTTTTGGACAGGTACCCCACAGATATACATCGTGTGTCACAAGTCCATCGAGCGCATTTGAAGCATCCACCTAACCTTTTTGCTCTTCGTTTCTTTGCATAAATACTTTTACCCATACCTGGCATATATTTATATGAATTTGGAAACTCTCCAGACAATCGAACTTGTGCTTCGATCAATCATCTAACATCATTTGGAATACCATTATTCATTAGCATCCTCAATCTTTCTAATCGAGATCGATAAATCCTTTTTATGATATTTTTCGGAAGAAAAGAATAATATTTACGGATATTTGAGAGTGCTAAATCCATTTGTAAATTCGGACCTTTGTTAAAGAAAATTGAATGAATTACCTGATAATTTATAGAAAAATATGATGCGTATGAGATACGACTCTGGACTTAAACAGTGTTCAAAAGTATGTGTGTCAGACAGCATGATACGATTCTGGATTTAAACAGTGGTTAAAAGATATTATACCAGAGCCTACACTTAAAGTGCATTTATTGCCGCCGAAAGATGATGTGAAATGTTTGTGATAAACATGTCACAACGAATTATTGTGATCACTTTAAAAATGTTTACCGATATTATTGATGATGGTTTGCATGATGAACTTATTCTTTGTGATATGAGATGCTTGTTCCCGATTGGTGAAAAATATTACTAGCTAAATATTTGTGAATCGATATATGATCAATCTGAGTATGAAAGGGGTACGATATATATGGGCCCACTACCCCTCCATGTGTGCTACTAGATATTATGGATCCACTAGATAGCCACATGTGTGTGATTCGTAACCTGAAGTTACGAGATGATTTGATCAAAGAATGTGTATATGACATGTAACCTGAATTTACGAGATGGTTTGATCTAAGGATGACACAAGATGATTATGAAAGAATGAAAATAAGTGTCATATGAAAGTGATGAAGCTAGTAATATACTCACCTGATATGATGAACTCTTGAAAGAAAAATGTGCACACTACAAATGATATGAGCTCAAAGTCCTCCAAATATATGTTGAAATCAAGAACAAAATAGAGACCATATGAACTCCCCTCAAGAAATTCAATACTAAAAATACAGATCAGGAATCTGTTAAGATGAGGGAGAGAATCAATGATTGAAATTTGGAAATGATATATGCATCACAGTGAAAGTGTGCAAATCATAAACTATATGATACTGATGATGATGAATTATATGAAATGATATGATAGTGGAATAATACGCTAGAAGCATTGGTATTGTGCAAATTGAAATTCCCTGAATAAGTGATGAAAGAGGGTATATTTACTATTGTTGAAATCAATTGATAATGAGATATCTCAATATACTACGGGGAATAATGGAAATGAATAAGTGTCGACACAAACAAATGAATAGCGCTATATAAATGATATTGACGAGAATGAAATCAGCTGAAATGCGAATATTGGGAACTATTGGCAGTAACACCATTGAAATCAATTGATGATGAGAATGAGTTTAAGAATAAACGTTGCACAAAGCATGATATGACATATTGTCATGAATACCATCAGTATCTGAAAATCTGAACGAATTTATATGATACTCATACAAATTATGGAAAGATTATTATGGTGAAATATGAAATACGCGTACTCTTTTTCCCTTGGCTAAGGTTTTGTCCCATTGGGTTTTCCTAGCAAGGTTTTTAATGAGGCAACAAGGATAACGTATTCACATGAATAGTGTACTCTTTTTCCTTCATTAGGATTTTGTCCCACTGGGTTTTTCCTAATAAGGTTTTAACGAGGCATATTCATGGTATCATGAGCACTACTGGATAAATGATATGATTCCTCACGGTGATAAGAGAGACTGGAGTAGCTGTACTCTTTTTCCTTCGATCAAGTTTTTTCCCACTGGGTTTTCTTGACAAGGTTTTAACGAGGCAGCACACATGGATACTCCACTAAAGATGATCTATTTGAGGGGGAGCAAAGTTGTGCTTCCACGATGATCAGGTTTTATCCCACCGGGTTTTCCTGACATGTTGAAGCAACGGTACCTGATGGCCACAAGATACAGTTGAAGATGTACAGATTGGGCTTTATTCAAATTAGTTAAAATATGTTTAGAAAATAGTCATTCAAGGGGGAGTGTTATGAAATAATAAAATAATGTATGTGAATGACTATTTTGCCCTCGATGTATTTGTATTATTACGAGTTGTGCCATCAGAAGTTTCCTATAAATAGGACCTTCAGTTATAATGAAAATTGTACCTAAGAGAATACATTTTCTCTATTCTCTCTCTCTCTAGTTTTATAACAGTTTTTTATTTTATTTATATTTTCTTATTTTTTTAGTGGATAAAGGACAGTAAGAGCATGACAATGTGTAAATGACAAACCTGAATGGAATGACAATATCATTCTATTATTATTTATCATTATTTTATAAAAAAGTTTAATATTTATATTAATGTTATTTTTTTTATTTATGATAATAATAAAATTATTTAAAAAAATATATATACTATATTTTAATAAATATATTTTTATATTTTTACACTCATATATATATTATATAATAAATAAGTGAATTGTGTATTCGTATACATATTAGCTAATACAAATATAGCATTACCTAAATCCCTATAAGCATATGTAGTCGAATATAATTTTTTATATTATAATTCAATTATGAATAAATTTATAATAAATATGATTTATAAAAATAAAATAATATCTTTTTAAATTATTTACAAATGCATTTTTAGTTTTATTTTTATATAAGATGACTTGGGCATGTGCGTAGGAGAGACTTAGAAACATTAGAATTAAGAACGCAAATAAAAAATGGGATGGTGGACTTAATAAAACTTGGAAGGAAATAATAAAAAATAATTTGAAATAATTAAATTTGAATGTGAATGTGTTTTTTGATCGAGCATGATGGTGAGTCTTAGTGAGATTTTAGCGGCTTGTTGTTGTTATTGTTGTATAAGTATATTTAATATAGCTAATTAAAATGTGAACAATAAATATTAATAAGTTTTTAAATTTTTTATTTGAAATTTAATTGTTGGAATTATTTTATTTAATATAATTTAATCATGATTTATAGTATATATTATATATATATATATATATATTTATTATTATTATTATTATTTGTTAATTTTATTTTTTGAGAAATTGATTCCTACACATATGGGAATGAGAAAAATCTTGCATTTGCTATGGAATAGTTAATCCCATGAAAATGGGTTTTGCAATTCCCATTGGAATGGTCATTCTTTTCCAAAAAAATATATCAATCATGGGATAAGGAATAAGTAAGGGAATTAACATTCCATTCTCATGTCATTCCCTCATACCAATCATGTCATAAATATATTGAAAGGACCGCTTTTCTCTCTCTCTTTATAAACTACTCTCCAAAAAAAAAAAAATACATATATATATATATATGCCTGCCTCCCCTTCCACAGTCAGCCGCTTCGGCCTTGTTGTTGCCGGTGATGGCGCGGGCACCACCATCCATTTCATGCCTGTAAGAGTTCAATTGAGACTCTTCGACTTTGACAATGGCGGGGATGGGCTCATCTTGGGCTCCTCTATTTTGCAGTCGGTCGACGGTCGAATTGTCCCAGTTGAGGGGTGGTGATGGCGATTTTTCTCGTCCGGTTGCTGTCTCATTTTTTGCCGGTTTGAAGGGTAGATCGGGTTCGAAGATGTCAGATCCGGTTAACCTTTGTCACATCGGAGTCAGGTGTGATGTCACGTTATTTTGAAAGGAAAAATCCCGAATGTCCTCAAAATTAGAGTAATTTTTTCCAAAAAAAAAATTACTTTTCACAATTAACGGGCACTACTCAAACATTCATTCATTTTACTTGGCTTAGCATCATCTTAAGCCGCTGGGAACTCATTGTCCAATTCACAACACAAGTCAACCAGCGAGATATAAGTCAACAATCATTCATTTTAATCTCGCAACATAAGTTATCAGTTCCAAGTTTCCAAAAACATCCAAACACCCATAAGTTTTGGAAAATAAACATGTCAAGCGGAAGCCGTTCATAACAATTCAAATAAACAAATGACCACCCTCCTCCATCCATTGCCACTACCACAAGCTCAACTTGAAAAAGATAATAATAATGGGGGTGAGCAAACAACAAGCTCACCGTGAGAATTACTATGCAATATATTTGATATAATAGCAGAAAATATAATTGCAGCATGAACATACATCATCATCACTCAACTATCTCCTTCTATAGTCTCATGTCTCATGTGCACATCTTATACTGTTGGATTCTCCATTCATTAGGCGCTCGTCAACAGGAGCCAAATACTGTCGGATTCGCCATTCATTAGGCGCTCATCGACAGGAGCCAAACCGAATGCCTCTCATTAGGCAAATGGAGATCGCCTTTCATTAGGCATTGACTATCATTAGGGCAATGATTCACGTACATACATTAATTATAGGATCTAGCGATTATAAAAAATAATTGCACAGTAAAGTTTAGCAACACCCACCTGTTCGGAATGACGGGGAAGCACAAAGAAGAGCACGGTAGGTTTTGAGGCTCGACTCCTCAGGAACCTACATTTAATTCAAGACAATTTTCCATAAATAAATTATCTTGATAGCTCAGAAATTTAACAAGATTCTCACTTAATCAAAATTAATTGATTAAGGAGTTTGTCAGATTTTTGTGGAATTTGAAAATCTCGATTTTAAGGAAAACTTGAAAAAAAAATATTTTAAAAAGGCTAAAATTGAGTCCAGCTCGAAAAAACAGATCAACGGCTCGAAGAATAGTCAAACGGCTCAGGAAAAAGGGTTTCGGCTCGCGTGGACTGGCACGGTGCGGGCAGACCTCGCTGGCTGCTGCTGTTGGACGTTGCTGGGCGCTGATGGGAGCTACTAGGAACGATGGTGGTCGCTGGGGTTCGTCTGAGCGCGCTGAGGCGTGGCTGTTGGCTACTGGACTGAATGGGCGCGATGGGGCGCGACTATGGGCTGCTGGGCTGTCTGGGCGTGTTGGGGTGCGGGCTGCGTCCATCGGGTTGGCAGGGCACTTAGATGCTGTTGTTGGCATGCTTGGGGTCACTGGCAGTGCGTCGGAAGCGTTTGGCGACGGGATACGCACGCCGTTGCAGCACAGGCACGCGATCGACACGGTGCAGACGCTGCGGGTTTCTGTGGCACGCTGCGAGCGATGTTGTGCGACCGCAGGCCACTCTGCGCGTCCGCTGCAACCTGGCTGCGACCCTCCGCAGCACACCGCGCGGTCGTTGCTGCCCGCGGCCCGTCCTGCGCGTAGAGGCTGCGTCTTGCACGCCGCGGCTGCTGTTGGGCTATTCGATCAAGGCTCAGTTTAAGGGGTTCGGGTAAGAAGTTGTCCTTGAAATTTTACCAGGTTTAAACACACATAATGTTTGGATCAATTAGGATCGTCGAAATTATGAATGTCATAGACTATCTACGAATTAAACCCTAAGCACCGGGAACTAGAAGCGAGGTTTCAACGTGTACCATTTTTTATTTTGCCAACTCTGAGACGTTTCTGATTTCTGTTGTAGAAAATTGTCTGAAATGCAAAGTCAGTTGGGCGTGCCATTTTTAATTTTACTAGGTTTTCAAAACCTTGCACAAAACAGACGAATAATGATTTTATTGTTTTGATTTTGTACTTATTAGGTTGGCCATTCCAATACAAACAAGTAAACAACAACGTGCGTCTCCTACCTAAATCGGATTCTCTCTATAAAAGACCAATCACCGCACACACTGACTCTGTGCGAAATATTTGCCTCAATTATTGTCCTTCACTCCTTTACCAGATTCTCTGAAAGATTCTTATTATTGGCAGCCTTCCGCGGACTTGCCTATTTACAGTTGGCCCGTGATTGATTGAAGCCAGCGGCTGGGTACGAGGCCAAGATGGATGTCAACAACGGCGGCGCGTCGGCGTTGGAGCTGCCCGTGGGAATATCCTCTATTATCCCGGGGTGGTTCTCGGAGATAAGCCCAATGTGGCCTGGTATACTTCGAGCTCACACACTTGTTATTTCAGTAGCTTGTCGATCTATTTTGTGGGTGAATTCAGGCGTGGTTATGCTTTTGCGTGCTTGAGGGATGAATTGTAGTTAATTCTTCCATTTTATTTTTGGGTCTATTGAAATATTGTTTTTTTAGGTTTTAATTAAGATTGGGTTTCAAGAAAAAGTTCAATTGTTTGTCTTGGGAAGTTAGTTTTTTCGTTGAGTATCTTGTGTTATGTTTATAAAAGTCTCATGCTCTGGCGGTGCACAATTAGTAGAATATGGCTGCCTATCATTAGCTTGAATATGGCTGTCTATCATTAGCTTGTTGCTAATATGAGCGAATTCAGGTGTGCTCATGAATTTGTGTGGTTGAGGGGTAAATTGTAATTAATCCCTCAATTTGTGTTTTGGGTTTACTGAAACATTATATTTTTTATCTTTTAATGGAGATTGGGTTAGAATTTTCAGTTTCATAAGTGGAGTGTTTATTTTTTTTCCTAGAGCATCTTGTGTTATGATTATCGGATTCTCATGCTCTGGCTGTGCACAATGAGTAGAATCTGGTTGTCTATCATTAACTTGCTGCTATCTCTCTCTCTCTCAACATATTCATACTAAAGTAGGAAAAGTTCCTTCTCTTCTAGATTCATGTATCATTGTGGTGCTACTCTAATTTTTAAGCTAATATATGATTAATAAAATGGAAATATATGAAGGGGTTTTCCTTTCTTTCGCGTGATTTTAGATATGATCGTGTAATGTCCATTTGTCCTTGTTCGGATTTGGTTAGGAAGTTTTTTGTTAAAACTTAAACATGAATGTGATTGAATTGATGCCTAATTTATAGCAGTTGCAGTTTTTGTAGCTAATCATCACCGTCAATATTTTCTGAGTACTCTTTTTATCATTCCCAAATGATTTTCTCCTGGGTATAATGCAAGTACCGAACGCGAGTTAACTGATAGCTACTGGATTAACAAAAATGAAATATCATAGTTGATTGTGCTGATTTTCTCTTATTGGGTGGTTTTGCATAAATATGCAGGGGAAGCTCACTCGTTGAAGGTAGAAAAAATATTATTTAAGGGGAAGTCTGATTACCAAAATGTTATGGTTTTTCAGGTACATGCCTCTGTCAGCCACAATATTAAAAATTTCCTTTAGGATTAGGCTGTTGCTTATAGTTTTTTTAATTCTATGCTTTATATTACCGAGTGCATAATTCCTGGTAAATTTTATCTGCAGTCGGCATCATATGGAAAAGTTCTAGTTTTGGATGGTGTAATTCAACTCACTGAGAGGGATGAATGTGCTTATCAAGAAATGATTGCTCATCTCCCACTTTGCTCCATTCCAAATCCAAAAAAGGTTCTTACTTTTGCTCTGGAATATGATTAAACCCGGCGCTAAATCAGGACTAGGACACAACTTATAGGGAAAATATAATGCCCACATTTTTTAAAAATAAAATATAACTATATTATTTATTATTATCATCATCATTTTAGATCTATTTATTTATTTTTTTAATATAGGGCTAATTTGATATTTGTTCAGGTTCTGGTAATTGGAGGAGGAGATGGTGGTGTCTTGCGTGAAGTGTCGCGTCATTCATCTGTCGAGAAGATAGATATATGTGAGATTGATAAAATGGTGGTTGATGTGAGTAATTGTTAACACTACAATCTATTTATTCATTAAACTATTTCCTTTACTTTCGTTTTTGTTTTTCTTATTAATTTCTTCTCTGATTCTATTCGTCTACCATGCTTCGATTAGTCCCTTCCGTTATAGTGTCAGCTTTCATTGTAATCTGAACTTGTTCCAATGGTCAGCCTCAGACAATCTATTTTAGAGATTTTTGAAATATACATTTAAAGTCCTATGGCGATTAACATGCAGACTATTTCTTTACAGGTTGCTAAACAATTTTTCCCCGATGTAGCTGTGGGGTATGATGATCCTCGTGTGACGTTGCACATTGGAGATGGTATACTCTTCTGCGGTTTCAATTTATTTCATTTTTTTCCTTCATTTATTTACTTTACCTGCCTTTTCGTGGACGTGAATATATTTTTCAGCTCAAGATTTGATTTATAGTCCTGTTACTTTTTGAGAAATTTGGTCTGTTCGCTGGAATTTGGTCCTTGACAATTTCACTCTTACTGAAAATAGCATTCCTATTTAGGGACATTTTAGAAATAGATGAAATATCTAAACATGCATTTAGGACCAAGTCACTACTTATCAGAAACTTGTGGAGTCTGTTTTGCAATTATTATTTTTTTCTCGTTTCACCATATTATTCTCAATTCATTTTGCAGGCGTTGCATTTCTGAAGGCTGTTCCGGAAGGAACTTACGATGCAGTTATAGTGGACTCTTCGGACCCAATTGGTAATGTATTTATCTTTCAGAGGAAAAAAACTCATCGAAATTCTAGAGAGATGTTGTATTTTCATAGTGAATTACTTTTGTCTCGACTTCAGGTCCAGCAAAGGAGCTGTTTGAGAAGCCTTTCTTTGAGTCAGTAGCAAAAGCTCTTCGGCCAGGAGGAGTGGTGTGTACTCAGGCAGAGAGCATTTGGCTTCACATGGACATTATTGAAGATATTGTCTCAAACTGCCGCCAGGTTTTCAAAGGCTCTGTCAATTACGCTTGGACCTCTGTTCCAACATATCCTAGGTATTTAAATTCTATACTTTTTTTTTCACTCTTTTTTCTGTACATTTTTTCTTTATAATTGGAAAGAGTTGTTCTATTTTGTTTCCATATAATAATTTTGGCGGTGAGCAATGCAAATTCCCATCATTTGCTCGGAAAATCAAAATAAATCACACAAGATTGTAGTGTCTGTTTGTTGAGAATAATCAAAATCATTAGAAAAATTGTAAGTTGGAAGATTATAGTGTCTCTCTTATTTAAGTTCTTGTAATTCAACATATGCTTTTTTCATCAGAACTAACAATTTATGTGTTGTCGGTTATTCTCCTTCCAGTGGTGTTATAGGGTTCATGCTATGTGCGACCGAGGGTCCCCCTGTTGACTTTAAGCATCCGGTCAACCCGATAGATGCAGACAATAGCTATGTCGAAACTAAGGGCCCACTAAAGTTTTACAACTCAGAGGTACAGCCTACTATTTCTCATTATGGATTTTATTTCGGCAAATTTTCCCCCATTTCTTAGATGCATCTAATTGGTTTTTGCTTTGTTGCTTGTTGTGGCTATAGATCCATTCTGCGGCTTTCTGCTTGCCCTCGTTTGCCCGCAAGTTGATCACAAGTTAGCCGA